CGAATTTGGCGTCCGTGGGGTGTTCGAGCAAACTGAACTAAATACTCTCCGACGGGTGGGGGGGGGGGGGGTGTACTCATAGTCGTGCATGCCGTAGTCGTTTGACCATTGACCTCGCATCCCTACAAAGCCGGGACGGAGCACGCCGGGTTCTCACCGGACCAGGCTCTCACATCACCAAGCGCGAAGCACCGTGAGGTATTCGGCGAGTCGCATGAAGGGTGAGCTGCATCCTACTAAGGGTGTTCGGCATCTTGTGCTTACTTCCTTGCGTACGGATGACAGCTACGCATGACTTAATTTATTTTCTGGTGCTTTCACTTCCAGAGACAGTTGTAAGCACTGTGTAACTGCCTCGGGGATGCTTGACCATTTTAACACAACGTGGTGCGATCATCCCCCTTGCGCGGAGTGAGGTTTCTCGACCCCGCACAACATGATCTACTCGACCACCCATTATGGTTACCGCAAAAAAAAACCAGAGGTAAAAAAAAACCCGGTAACCTGGTTGCCGAGTTCACGAAGTGAATTGGCTTGTTTTACAATGTCGTTGCCAAGCGACGAAAACCCAACCCCGATGACAAACACCGAGTGGGGGGGGGGGGGGGGGGGGGTACACTCCATCACCTACGGAAAAGAGCATGTATGCACGTACTTGCGGATCGACGGATGCCGTCGGAATCGGGTCCTCAACAATTTCAGTAAAAATAAATACAAACACAGAAAGACTACTATTATATTTCGAGATAAAACCACAGTAGTCGACCGGGATGTGTTGGAGTCTTTGCAGTGCGTGGAGGGAAACCGGCTGGGTACTGGGCTTATACACTGATGATTTATATCAGTGATTCCAGGTGCTGGTGCTAAGCACAAAAACATCTGTATAGGTAACAGTATGCAATACGTACCGATCTCGGCGATCTTGTTCCGCGAAGTCCTCCGCCTCCTTGACCATTCGCTCGATCTCCTCGTCCGAGAGCCTCCCTTTCTCCGACGTGATGGTGATCTGCTGCACCTTGCCGGAGGCCTTGTCTTCCGCGGACACCTTCGTTTTTCGTTCGCGCGCCGCCATTACCATTACTGTGAGGACAACTTCTTCGATGCAGCAGGGGTCCCTGTTTAGTGCCGATACGTGCCCAGGATACTCACCGGCACTACTGATAGAACTGACCGGCACTTTTCCAAGTATTGAGAATGATTTGGAAATTCAGTGTGTGCCCACCGAAGACACCGGCAGTACGTACCGGGTACCGGCACAAGTCGACCGGCACAAGTCAATCGGCACTAAACAGGGACCCCCTCTGTTCGTGAGCACCGTGTGGAAGCGGAACTAATCGAACGGCACGCCTCCTCCCCACGCAGGGTCCCACAAATCATCAAAACCATGGTATCTGTCACAAATCATCAAAACCATGGCATCTGTCAAAGTGCCGACTGCGAATACGAAGAACTCCGACTTTCCGCCAACGGTCCCAAAGCCGATGTTTTTGGCACCGCCACTCTCTCTGACTCTGTCTCCCTCTCCCTCTCTCTCTCTCTGACTCTGTCTCCCTCTCCCTCTCTCTCTCTCTGTCTCTGACTCTCTCTCTCTCAATCTCTGTCTCTCTCTCCTGTCTCTGCTGTCTCTGTCTCTCTGTCTCTTTGCTGTGGAGGTAGTCGCTGTGAATATCGGTCGCATGTACTGTGTACTGTCATGTACTGCACCTGCAGGATGCCGTTGGCGTCCACGTCGAACGACACCTCCACCTGAGGAGTGCCGCGCGGGGCCGGCGGTATCCCGGACAGCTCGAACTTCCCCAGGAGGCGGTTGTCGCGCGTCATCGAACGCTCCCCTTCGAACACCTGCGGAAAAAACAAAAATTATACAAATAAAAAAGGACGTACAAACGTATCTCGTGTCAACAAGTACATTCGCACACGTTCGTTTCACAGCAAGTGCCCGCTGAAACGCGTCGTCATGTTAGCATGTGGATTTCTTCGTTGATCTAATTGTCGTTGTTTTAGGTTTACGACCAAGGCTCCTTCCGCAGGCGACGCGGCAGAATGGCAACACTAACTTCCCTAAGCCGATCGCCATGCTCTCATCTGAGAACTAAGACGTCAACCTTAAATCCATGACCTTCCTCATCCTAGCAGTGCAGACGGGGGGCCCTCTACTATAATAGTGACGGTATGTGCAAAGCGCCTTCACCCGTACTACAAGCAAAAATAACAAGAGGGTACCCACACTATCTGTGCCAGCCAACTTTACCCGCGCTATACCGGGCACCTGCACCATGCAACCCGCACTCCAGTAAAAGCGCTCGCACGTAAAGGGATTGGTCGTAACGAAATTGATACTGCCTCGAAAAACTCAAAATCAATATCATATTGCGTCCCCAAAACTGAAAACAAAGAAATACCCAAAACAAAGCACACACAAACACTACTGAACTCAGACGCCAGAGCGTACCATACCAATCACAAAACAAGCCGACCTGCTGCTCATTATGATCACGGCTCTCCCGCAGTGTCGTATTTCGTGGACCCCGTTAAGAACCCCTACACTAAAGCCTATATAACGGCCATTCGTAGCATGACCCTAGGAATACGGTCAAGAACCCCAGCCCCGGCCAAAACTAGAGGCTCATAAGACGCGCGCTAACTGTAAAGAGGGCCCTCGACTACTGCTGTCTTGTTAAGAGATCAACGATAGTCTTATCCACCATCGACTGCAACTCGCCTGGATCAGCACCCCCGGCTGGTTGTCCGCGTAGGTCGAGAAGCGCTGAGACTTGTGCGTGGGGATCGTGGTCCCTCTCTCGATCAGCTTCGTCATCACCCCGCCCGCCGTCTGCCAGACGCGGCACATAAAGGTGTACATACATACGTCAACGGAAAGAGGAACCGAGGAGGACTTTTGAGGTCGGCGGTAGAGGGAGGGTGAACAGTATTGGCAAGGGGAATGCTTCGTCTGCGGCAAGTCTTCGCCACGGAACACAAGTCATCAAACAAACGGCAACACCTAGCTGGGATACCCCTCGAATCACCACAGTGCAGCCATCGTCGCTTGTAAGGACAACCATGATTCGAAGTGAGGACAATAAAAATACCAAAAACGGTGTTTCTTGCAAGGAAAGAACAATGCCCTTCAGGCGGGGGAAGTGTCACTACAACTAATCGTACCCCCCTACAAATGCTTTTTTCATCCCCGCAGGGCACACCATGCTCCTGAACCAAAAAGCAAACAACTGTCCCCAGAACCAGGGAAGTGCCCTTACAGACGTTCCACTACCCTTTTGCTTTTTTTACATCCCTGCTGCGGGGCACCATTCTCCTGAAGCTTAAATTACATGTTTCATAAAGCGAGGACGATCTTGCATTTGTTTAGGTATTTCTACCCCCACGGGACGGGGGATCGATTGACTAATGTCCATGCCATCATTTTTCAAAACTGCGTTTGGACTTGAGCGCGGAAGGGATTAGCCTAGCCTGCTCGTCTCGTTGGGCACGCTGTCCTCCAGAGACTTATGTGCGGCTTTGGAGACGGGGCACTTTACCAGCGCCGTGACCAAAGCCGCACAGACGGCTCTGGAGATCTGCATCTCGAAGGAGACCAAACAGGCTAGACCCTCCCTTCGAAGCTGCAGTCCACGCGCAGCGTCATGAACATCTACGTCGGAAGGGAAGGTCTAGCGGCTCGTTGGGCATGCAAGCACTCCAGAGCCTTCGGTGAGACTTTGGAGGCCGCAAACCTTACCGCCGTGTGGGGGTACAGAGCGCCGTGTCCAAAGCCGCACAGAAGCCCCTGGACCTCTGCAGAACCAACAAAGACCAGGCTAGACTCTCTTTGACGTTGCAGTCCACACGCAGTTTCATGGACACCCATGTTGGAAGGGAAAGTCTAGCCTGTTATTTTCGTTCGGCATGCACATCTCCAGACCCTTCTGTGCGGTATTCGCGACAGCCACATTTGGCCAGACCACCCACGCAGGAACAAAAGGAAGGTTGGGCAAGATACCACACATCCTGGACCGGTTTCTAAACTCGATTACTACTTTGAACGAAAACGATTCCGAAACCAAATGATACCTTTTCGGAAAGCTCTCGACGTGACGGTTCCAACGCCGCCGTTTTCGGCACCGTCACTGCTTCTCCTGCCGAGTAAGCAATCGAGCTTTGAAAATCGGTCCAGCGGGTGTGGTATCTTACCGTAAATGACACAAGATAACACACCCCCTGGACCGATTTTTTTAAAATCTCGATTTCTCAACAACAGAACAAGTCACAGCGCCGAAAACGGTCGCACTGAAGCCGTCTCGTCGAGAGAAAGCTTTCCGAAAATGTATTGTTTCATTTAATGCATCTTCTTCGTCGTGGCGTAATCGAGCTTTGAAATTTGGTCCCGGGGGTGTGTTATCTTATGTCATATACGGTATGCAACCTACGGTACCGCTGTGGGTGGTCCGGCGAAGACCCTCGAGAACGGCATTTTAAACACAAACAAGAGCAGCTTAAGACTCTCCCTTCTACGCTCAAATCCAAACCAAGTTTCGAAAAGTAAACGTGTAGATATTGGTCGATCGATTCCCTGTCAATTTGACATCCCCCCGTTGTTGTTGTTGTTGTTGTTGTTGTTGTTGTTACTGCTGTTGCCGTCTTCACATAAAAAAAACGTTCCGGTAGCTCAGTACCTTCAAATACCCATAGCACTGGTCTAACTGACGCGGACACCTTCCGTGGTCACAAGCCAACTACCAGAAAGGTACTACGCCTTTCTATGGTACAAAAACAAAAGACGGCAAAAAAAAAGGACCCAGAAAAAAAAATCTCCAGGCGCGAAAACATCAAAAACTACTGGTGCCTTACAAGCGACGACAGACACTCCTCCTATGGCCCCTGCGAGGCACCACAGGGGCCCCGCAGTTTTTATGAAGCGAGTATGGCGTCCTTAAGAAAAGCAGTGCCTTCGCAGGGTGTTTTCGATGAAGTAAACATGTCGGACGAAGCATGCAAATGGGAAATTTGGGTTAGGGATTAGGGTCTGCGTACCCCTCCCCTCTTCCTCAAAAACTTTTAACCCTAACCCTAAGGCGGCCCTTAAAAAAAAAAAAAAAACGTAGTAGTCAGTACCTCTATCCCCATGGAGAGCGAAGCCACGTCCAGCAGTAGCACGTCCTTCGTCTGCTCGGCGGCATCCCCGGACAGAATGCCTCCCTTGGGGTCATCGTCATCGTCGTCGTCGACGGTGACACGGACGGACAAGCCGGACACGCACGGCACGTCAAGGAGAAAGAGTGTTGAGAATACAGCAGGGATGTTGGTGCCGTTGGTGGTGGTGGTGCTGTCGTTCTTGTCGATGCTGTTAATTTATTGCTGATATTTCTAATATTACTCTTCTGTTGTTGGTGGTGCTGTCGTCATTGTCGATTCTGTTGTATTGCATTGCTGCTTTTGTTGCAGTTTTTGTTAGTGGTGGCGATTGCGGTATTTCTGTTGGGAAGGACTGCACAATGCCGACCAAGCTACGGTCGGACGCACCTTCTTACGTCACGGTGACGACCTGTGCAGCGACGATGGTGCGGAAAAGGTCGGAAAAAAAAAACACACTTGAAGGATACAATTAAAGTAGTCTAGCAAAGCACCACGACGTCACTTCATTTGTCAACCGGCTAGCGTGGTCGGTGCAAACTGAAGAAACGCACACGCCAAACAATTGCCACACAGGACTGCTTCCCTTCCCCCCCCCCCTCTGTCTCTCGCTCTCTGTATGTCAGTCTGTCTCTGTGTCTATACCCCCCTCTCTATCGTCTGTCTGTCTTGGTGTCGGTCTCTGTCTCTGTCTCTGTCTCTGTCTATCTCTCTCTCTTCATCCCCTGCCTCTCGCTCTGTCTCTATCTGTCTTCCTCCCCCCTCCCTCTCGCTTTCGCTGCCATTCCTCTTTCTCTGCAATTCTCTGCCTCTGTCTCTCCGTCTCTGTACCCCCCCCCGCTGCAAA